ACCGGGACCGGGGGCACGTAAAGCACGAGAATGATTCAGAAAACGCATTTTGGGCGTGTTTTCTACGCGTGAGCCCCTTTGACGCCTAGGCTATTCTGTCCACCTTTCGTAGCTAACTCTGTTGCGTTTTTATCAGTGGACAAAAATAAAAATCGTCCATGCCCAGGTAGAACACGTTTGTCAAATTGATGTCACAATGACCTCACTTTCACGTTCATCGTCAAAATTCACTGCGGCTATATAGCCAGAATGAGCTCATTTTGCCGTAAAATGAGGGTCATTGACGAGTTTTTGACGATTGTGTTCTACCTGGGTGAATATGATGCAAATTTGTCACTTGCAAGGTGTAAAAAATGCATCCTGCCAAGATGTGCTGAAAAGCGCATCTTGCTGTGGACAAAAAAAGTCCATTGGAATTTAATGACAGTGAACTGTTCTAAACTTTTGTTCAAAGTGCATTGTAATTTTACTCAATGCCGACTGGTAAAGTGCGAACTGTTTTCAGACCACGAAAGACTGCCTACGTCAAGATGTAAACCGATATCTGAAAGCAAATGGTTTACTACATTGTGAACGAACACCAGAGCATACTGTAATGGGCACTTTCGTCGCAATTTTGTTGCTATGCTTGTTTTGTGGAGCCCCTGGCAAATCCATCAACTCCGTCATGGTAAGGCACGAAAAAAAACCCAAACTGCTCACCAACATTTTCAGAAAATTGAATGCAGTGGTGTCAGTGGTAAGTTGAAATCAGGGTTTTCTTCCGCCCTGATTTGGCGGGCAGCATAAAATATGACATTAAGATCCGCGGGTCTTCAACTCGCATGATCAAAATTCGCAGAGTCGAAGTATCATCCACATCCAGTAAATCGACACCTACGCACAAGCAGCTATATTCTTCAGCTGAGCAGCTATCTGCTTGAGGGTGGCGGACAAACAGCTATCTTTTTTTTTCTTTTTTTTTAGGAGGTTAGGGTTGACCTGTTCTCCGTCCAATAACTTTTGTCAGTGACAAGTTAGGAACTTCGGGAGTGGTATTCTATGTTTAGACGAACTAAAGGAAAGAATTGACGCAGCAGTGTAGTGGCTACGTCATTTGAGGACAGAAATATGAATACCCCAAGTCGCGAGGTGGAAAAAAACAGGTGCTTGTCTGCACTGCTCAAGAAGTTAGCTGCTTGTACGTAGGAGGTGTCGAAACATGAGAGAAGGGCGCCCTAGCCCTAGAGTCCCTTCTCTCATGGTCGAAATGAAAAAAGTTCCGTCCAGGAATGGAAAGCAGATGCAGCTGATACAAATTTGTATTCCTGTCCTGTATGATATTTAGTTAGGTTTTTGGGTCGTTCACGGAACGAATTACATCGACAATTTTTTGCAGTAATTCATAAATCCCTAGTTATATTTAACTAGGTGGATGTACGCAAGACCACGTC